ATATATATATATATTTTTTTTTTTTTTTTAATCTCCTATAACATTATAAATGTGTTTACCGTCACTTTTGATCAATTAAATAATGCATGATTTTTTTATGGTTTAAATCTCAAGAAGCCACCCAGGCTGTGATCTGAAACATTGCTGTTACTTTGTCATTGAAGTGCAATAATTTTTCTCTCTTTTTCTTCAGAGAGTGGTTGTTTGTACATAGTAATGGACTACTGTGAGGGAGGAGACCTGTTTAAGAAGATCAATAATCAGAGAGGGACTCTATTCTCTGAGGAACAGGTAAGAGGAACAATACAAAGTCTGTTAAGCTCTGCACCTGACAACAGGCTGCAAATTATCTAAGCTTTAAATTTTTTTTTCTCACTCCTACAAAAGTAAATAGTATCTATTTAAAGTCATATGCACTCATATGGAATGAAGAATCCAGTCACATCAGCTGCTAATCTATTTTATTCTGCAGTATATAGAGTGGGTCGCCTCACAGGGGTGGCATTGTTAGACCAGTCAAATGCTACTTAGATATACCATTAAATAAAAAAAATGTATTAACTTTGAATTTCTTTTATCATAACAAAATAAACTATTCTTAGTTGTTGAATGTTAGCAAAAGCCCAATTTTTTTGCAAGAATAATCTTGCAGTGTTATCGTCTGAAATACTGAACACTGTGTTGTTTTCTGGAAGATTCTTGACTGGTTTGTGCAGATCTGCCTGGCTCTGAAACACGTACATGACCGCAAAATCCTACACAGGGACATCAAATCACAGGTACGGCTGTCTCTCTCACACACACACTTGTACCAACATTTCTGTGGAACTACAGGATAATGTACAATATACTTCGACTTGGTTTACATATGCCTTGTACATGATTTTTGCTTTTGTTTTCTATCAAGAATATTTTTCTGACCAAGGATGGTACCATTCAGCTGGGTGACTTTGGAATCGCTAGAGTTTTGAACAGGCAAGTAATTGCAATTTGATTTCAAAACCGCATAAGGAATGTGGTGAGAATAACCTTCATATGTAATGTGGTTGTGTGTGCAGCACCGTGGAGTTGGCGAGGACATGTATTGGCACACCTTACTACCTGTCACCAGAGATATGTGAAAATAAACCATACAACAACAAGAGGTAAAGTACTTCCTGTTCTGAGCCAGGGTGATATATATGGGCAGTACAGAAGCTACAGAGCACTCAGTGGCTCTTGTACAGTTTGCTGAATCATTATAGAGTGGTGATGTAAGTTTATATGTGTTTATCTGATCCCAGCAGCTACATATTGATCCCAAGTCATTTGTTCCTGGACTGTTTGTAACTTGATCAGTCTGAATATTTTTAGCCAGTATTGAGTAAGCCCAGCTGTATTACATTACTTTTAGGGTCTGTAAGATTTTTTTTTTAATTAGTATAATTTTTTTTTTTTGAAGAATTCCTTTAAGCTCACCAAATCTGTATTTATCTGATCAAAAATATAGTAAAAATAATAATATTGTGAAATATTTATTACTGCTTTCTATTTGTACATATTTTAAAATGTAATTTATTTCTGTGGTGGCAAAGCTGAATTTTCAACATCATTACTCCAGTCTTCAGTGTCACATGATCTTTCAGAAATCATTCGAATATACTGATTTTGTGCTTAAGAAACATCAGTATTGAAAACAGTTATGCTGCTTAATATTTTTTGTAAAACCATGTTTATTTTTGTCCCCAGAATTCTTTGACAAATATAAAGTTAAAAAGGAATGAATAATGGAACCTTTTTTGTAATATTATAAATGTATTTATTTACTGTAATTTTTGATCAATTTAATGCATCCTTACTGAATACAAGTATTGATTTCTTGAAAAAATAAAATCTTACTGATCCCAAATGTTTGATTTTTGATAGAGTATGAATTTTAAAATTTCTTAGTATCAGAGTGCGTACTGAGATATAGACATTAAATGACTTTGTTCACACTGCACAGCACACAAATCTTATTTGGTTTTCAATTAGGGCTGCACGATAAATCGCATGCGATATTTAATGCGCATCTTGTCAGAAAGCCGGTTCTGTAATCAGCGGTAAATCTCCATCACGTGCGTGCTTTCACATTGAGCAGCATTAACTACACAGAGCCGTTGTTCACTGACGAGTTGCGCAAAACCACGATCATATTCGCGCGATTTTTTGCGCAGCTCGTCAGTGAACAACGGCTCTGTGTAGTTAATGCTGCTCAATGTGAAAGCCCGCACGTGATGGAGATTTACCGCTGATTACAGAACCGGCTTTCTGACAAGATGTGTGTTAAATATTGCATGCGATTTATCGTGCAGCCCTATTTTCAATCCTGATTTTTTCAATTCCATCACATCCTGAATGATGAAATATAATATGAACATTTAGACTGTGATGCATTAATTGGATTTTGAGCCACATATCGATGTGCATTGGTTTGGATTGTAAACATTAGATTTTGTGTAGTCCTTTGCAAAAAAAGAAAAGAAAATTCAGATATTGTGCAAAGCCATGTTGTTTAATATTCAAATCACTTTAGATATTATATGCTGTTTGTTTGTGTATTTATGTTTGCATGTGCACATGTGTGAGTAATCCACATGTGCCACCCCAAAATTTACCCATATGTCCCACTTTCTCCCTGTCTGTCTGCTTTGTTTTTTTGTCTTCTCTCTCTTTCTTTATGCGTTGTTCTGTCGGGTCTGACCCTAGTGATATCTGGGCCCTGGGATGTGTCCTGTATGAAATGTGCACGCTTAAGCATGCAGTAAGTACCTCATGTTCTCAATAGTAGCTTTTGTGTGCAAGGGAGTTTTTGTGCTTATCTTTTGATGTGAACGATAAAACAGGACTATCTCTTTCATATCTTTTTAACCTGTATATGTATATAGGTCTCATTTTCTCTCCCTCTTCCTCTCTCACTTCGCGTCTTTCATTATTTACACCATGAATGTTCTGAGGAGACTAATATTTTACAGTGGAGAGGCAAGTGAAACTGCAGCAGCTTTAAAAATTGAGATGGTTAGCTGTGTGGAGAGACTCTTTCCTGCTGAAGAGAAAATTAACTGTTGATTAATTTGAAAGTCTTTTTTTCTGTATTCTTTGATTATATTGTAGGTTTACGTGATTTATGACTTGAGTGAAGGTGGTATTATCATTTTATTTTCAAGTAGGACCAATTATATGATGTCTTTCACTCAGTTTGAGGCCGGAAACATGAAGAACCTGGTGTTAAAAATCATCCGTGGTTCGTACCCGCCGGTTTCCGTGCATTACTCCCAAGACTTGCGCTCTCTCCTGGCCCAGCTGTTCAGGCGCAACCCCCGGGAGAGACCCTCCGTCTCAGCCATTTTGGACAAGCCTTTTCTTGCTCGCAGGATTCACAAGTTTCTCAGCCCTCAGGTGATGCATGCAAACAGACATTTATGGCAGTGTGATGATGAATCAGTCTGTGCTCTGTGACTCAGATATAACTCAGATGTTATATAACGCTCAGGTCTAATTCCAGACCCAATCCCACATGTGTTGGAGAATTTGTTTGTTTAGTATGTTTCCTTGTATATGTTGCAGATTATTGCTCAGGAATTCAGCCACTCACTTCACCTTAATCAGCCTAAAATGAGTGTGGCCCAGGGAGCACCAGGTAAACACATTCATTAATAACTAATACATTTGTTACCCTCTGGTGATGTTATTGTATATATGGATTATTCTATTATCCTAAATTTAGGGAGAAAAATTACTTACGAATCATGGTATCCACTGATGGATGAGCAGTAGTCGAGTAGAGATGTGCCTGGAGTATATTGTTAAATTGTTCTCTTGATCTCCAAATACCAGAAATCCAGTTGTTCTGTGCCTCTTCACTCCCCAGCCAAACGCCCTGCCCCAGGCCCCATCCCCATCTCCCCAGCTCAGAAAATCACAAAGCCAGCAGCCAAATATGGAGTGCCTTTAACAGTCCGAAGACCATCTGACGCCATCAGAAAGGTCCCGGATGCAGCAAAGAAACCAGTCAAACTCAAGCAGGTGAGAACCATGAGAAATAAGGACCCCATGTATGTCATTGGCTAATCCACTCCTATGTTTTGCCCATACATTGTCACTCAGTATGTTAGGAGGGGCACTTGTGTAACATTCAGACATTTGTTGATGTTGTCCCGCTGTGTGCTATAAATGAGAGCGAGAGACCTCTGATCCTCGCCCCTCGGTGTCATGTGTTGTCCAGGCTCCCCCTCCTGCAGCAGCTCAGAGGAGAGTGAGTCGAGTGGAGGAGGAGAGGAGGAAGCATGAGGTACATTAGAGAGTGCCCCTATCTACAGACCCTTCTACTAACACCCAACCCTGATCCTCCTTTTAATCCACTTACCCCTGTGCAAATACACTTTGTCCTCCACCAAAAAATTTTGCCCTGTAAGCCTCAAATAGGTTTACCCTTTATATCATTAATATGTCCCATTTATTGGTCTGCTCTAGTGGTTAAAGATCTGAGCTGCCATCAGAAATATTGTAATCTTTTTGCAAAGAATAAGTCCGTATCTGTATGGTGCCTATGAGCAGGACACTTATCCACAGGTTGGTCCAGCAGCACTATCACTGTGATAGGTGTACTTGTAGTTACTCTGGACTGTATCTCTTTTTTTTATCTTCAGTGAAACTTTTTTCTTTCCCCTCTTTTTTGTTGGTGTCCTTCTGCTTCTCTCCAACTGCTGTCATTAATATGGTGGGCATCTTCATTTTTTTTCCTTTTCCGCCCCTTTCTTTATTAACCCTTTCACCAGTCCAGTGTTCATTCTATAAATGTGTCTAGAACTACTCTACCCTCTGAGCCGCAAGATGCTAAACCGTTATTGTTCAGCGACTGATCCATTTTGGGAACAAATATTCTTTCAAGATTATATATGGACGTTTGACTGCTCTTGCCTCTCTTTGCCACATGGAGTTGTACAAACAAATGTTTCTGTGTCATCACTATTGCAAACAAGTAATGGGAAATACTATTTGCATCATGTCTAAAAGCATCATGGTCATGTTCTGTTTCAGGAAGGAGTCTAATAATACAAATCCAACAAATCTTTGTAGTAATGAGTGTCCATGTTGTTTTCACATTCCGACTTAAAAGCACAACTCAGTAAATGAGAGCATCTGAGGAGTGCGTGAATGCAGTAATTACACTTGCTCTGATGGCAGCATGTAGCCTTCCGTTAACTAAGCTAAACATGCTTAAATTAAAATGCCTAAAGCTAAACCTACCTTGTATTCACATTTCTAACCCTGTTGTCCCAGGGTGTCCGCGGGTCCTTAAAAGGTCTTACGATGTCTTAAATAACGTTTTCCTAATATAAGGCCTTAAAAAGTCTTAAAATGTCTTAAATTCGGATTCAACG